TGTAAGGCGTACATGCCTGGATTCAACCTGCAGTCTTGCCCAGGCTTCCTCCACAAGTTGAAACGGACCGTGAAGATATCACCAATGTTGACCTTGCACACGACAGCACCTTCAAACATCAGCCTATTGTTTGCCCACTGAGTGAGGGATCGGCACGAAGATGCAATCACATCTTGAAACAACCAGGGATCACGGTGATTGTCGTCATCATACTCAGGAACAGCTGTTGCACAGTGCTTATACATCTGATCAGGGACACTGGCATCAAAATCAGGCCGATCAACTTCTGGGCTGTTCCGAGGCGAGAGAAGCACGTAGTTTCTCCAATGATGGTCGAAAACTGCCCAGGCATACTTGAACTTATGTCGAACAGAATGTTCTGGAAAGCATCGCAGATGCCATCTTCAAAATCATGTGGCGACACCTCCATCTGCACATATTGCATCCTGAAGCGACGCCATTCTGAACTTGAGTACCCTCTCCAGCGCTGACCCACCGGTGGTTTACTAACTCCTCCCGGCCTGTGTCCTCTGCGTACCCTTTGAGTATCGTCACATTGGTAGCAGGGTGAACATGTTGTGTTTCACAGGAGGGATCGCGTTCATCACTGTCAGAGTCAATGCTCTGTTCTCCAGTTCTAGGGATTGGATGTACTGGTCCCTTTTGCACCGCGATGGACACAAGGCTGCAGAGGAGGCGGAAACAAATTTGCCCAATCGTTGACGCTTTTGCGCACTGTTTTCATTCATTGCGCGCCCTGGCTAGCACTCCAGCATGCAATTGCCTAAGACTCGCTGCACGTCTGCCAAAATGGCAATCTGGGCTTTGATGGCGTGTTTGTGTGTTTGCCTCTGCGGATATCGGATTTTGCTGGCAAAAGCAGGAGGCAGAAATCCGGTCCTTGATGATGACCTCCCGGTATCGAAGAAAGCATTGTCCACAACCCGGTGGCGAACGTATGTCTGGTGGGGCAGCCGTCGTGGTGGTGGTGTTGGTGGTAGCATCAGCAGCACGAGTTCCAGCACTAGCAGTGGTAGGAGGAGGAGGAGGAACAGGAGCCGGAGCAGGAGCAAGAGCTGCAGCATGTCCTCTTCTTTGCGCAGACTATTACCATCAAAGCTGCGGTAGTGTTTCAGGACCACTGACATGACAAGTATGATAAACATGTCTGCCAAGTCCTGTGAATTCCTTTGGTTGCTGCCCTTTCCGATTGCTTATGTCAACCCTGCACAACAGCTCGCGGCCTCAGCTGAAAATTACAGTCTGCACCCAGGTCCAACAAGAAATCACGTACGTATGTATGTATGTATGTATATGTCTATATGTATGTAATTGCACAAACATGTTCTCAAAGTTTGCATGTAGCAAAGCCTTTATGCCACCCGAGTCTCAAAGAAGCAGCCCAAGCACAGCGAGAGGCCACCGCTGCGGGGAAGCCGGTATCCGGGGTCGTGGCCGCAATCCATGGCTCTCGGCTGCATCTTGGGAGGGCAGGATCTTGAGCTATAGACGGTGGCAGGCCCGCTACTGCTTGCAAAGACCTCCGGGAACTTCACCACCAACTGTGGTGTCTGGCCTTGAGCACTGGGTTGTGGGCGACCAGAAGAACGGGCATGCGAACAACACCACCCTTTCATCATGGTCATGCCATCTTAGCAATACGCTCGATCTTCGTCCGGATCGCCGTCGTCTCATACCACGACAAGAAACTCATGAGAGGGTTGTTTCAATAATATGCCTCAAGTTTGTCAACATGCACTTCCCTTGCATCCCAGATTTCTATCTGGCCCAACTAGTATGCTAGCTGCTAGTGTATCTTCACAGCACTGGCGACAACACGAAATTCTACAGTATGCATCATGTATCTACTTGCAACCTGCAACGTTCGGCATGATTAATGTACTAGCGACACGGGTAATGCTGCGAACCGTCATGTATTCTAAATCCCAGACAGTGTGGCTTTGTAGCTTCAAGGTTGATGACGTGCGCATTTTCTGCCTGACCTCTGGCTTGTGCGGGGCCTGTGTACCCCCGATGGCTCTTTCTCCGAGACTTAGTGCCCAACGTCGCTACCTTCGTCATGGATTTTGCGGTTGATGCAAAAGAATGACCAGCGGACTTCGTGCTTTCGGTGTTCAGCATGATTCGACACAGACACGTAGCAGCCACAGGCAGATGGACCTGTGTTCCTCGTGGCAGGCTGCAGTAGAGAAACTCAGGCCTTAGACAACCAGAACTCTCCGCGAGGCTCGGATGCCCTGCACCAAAGTGAAAGACCAGTCACCTGTGGGAGTCGCTCCACCTCTATACGATGCACCATTGATCAAGTGAGTAGGCTCGCCGAAGTCGTCGAAGATCAGGCGAGGTCGCTCACGCCTCCAGTACGTTACAGAACCACCATCCTCAAGCTCTGCTTCAGTGCTGTAGGCCCGCACGTTGGCATATTCCCAGCGCAGGCCGTCCTTGGAGTAGGCATGACCTCCGATCTTGTCCCATGCATGGAAGAGTGCGTGGAAGTTGCCCCGAGCATCTCGCCACATAAAGCTATCCTCGACACCGAAGGGGAACACCGGCGCCGGTGCCCAGTCGTCCCGGAACAAGCTGTAAGGTCCCTGCCAATGGTCTGCTTTGACCAGGAAAATGGGAGACTGCGAAGACGGCTCACTAGAGCCCCATGCCCTCGTGAAGGTAAGCACTGTCCCATTCGGAAACACGATGGGTGCGTGGGACTCAAGACCAAGGTTTAGCCTTTGCCAATCCCAGGGCTGCAAGGTCAGGTTCTTCCGAGCCCAGGGTCCCTCCAACCTGTCCGAGTAAAGCACATCTTGGCACATCTTCGTAGGACTGGGTACAACCGGGACAGAGCCCTTCTGTCGTGCCATTGCTGCAGCCTCTGCATGGTCCCACAAGCCCAGTGCCTTCCGAGCCAGTTCTTGCTCCGTCACCACAGCCGATCTTGTAGATGACATAGCCACCGTCTGGGAGCGCCAGTAGCACGGGCTCATGAGCAAAGTAGGACATCAGCTCTTGCTCTCGCTTGAAGGGGCCATATGGTGTCTCTGCAGTGGCGTGTACGATGACGCTGTTGCGAAACCAGGAATCGAGGCCACAGGCACCCGACATCTCAGCCACGAACATGTGCCATCGCGACTTGTTCTTCGGATCACGGATGATGGAGGCACCCCAAGAAGCCAATCCAGGAGCCTCGGCGGAGGGTGGCCGCCCATAGGAGGGTGCCAGCTTGCTCTTCAGAGGGAGGAGATCCAGGCTGCCACAGCTTCTGCCCTTCCAGCCAGAGTAGCACCTGCACACTCCTGCCAGGCACTGACCGTTAAGGAGGCAGTCAAACTCACTGTTGCAGGGCGGCGGCGGTGGTGGTGCACCTACAGTGCCGCTCTCTATGCCTTTCCAGGCTACGAGCTTCAACTGCCACTCACCCAAGTGTCCGTAGCAGCCTTTAGCCCAGGGCTCGCCAAAAGACTTCAGGTGATACTTGAATGTGAAGCAGGTCTTGTCTGCCACACAGGCTGCAGCGCACTCTTCCCTGCTGTCGAAGTCACCGAAGTAGCGAACAGATGCGCTGCTTGTGCGAGGTAGATCCGGCGTGGCTGCCAGATTGTTTTGCTCCAGGAACCAGGTCACTGTTGTGTTACGAGCATGCGCCACACTTATAAGTGCCAGGAAACTGAACCGCATGCCTTGTCGAGTCCAGGGCAAACACCGCGGTCCAGATAACTCATGACTACGCCTCGGAGCCTAAATATTCCAGCGGTGCGTTCGACTATGTGCCATGTAACTTGGTACCCTTTGGCGCAGTTCAGATGCATAGTAGTTCAACTTGCGGCTTCATTGTCTTAGGGTTTAGGGTTGAGGGTTTAGGCATGGGACGGAGAGGCAGATCGAGGCCAGTGATGTAGGAACCCCTGGCCTCAATCGCGGTAGTTATCATGGCAACAGAGGGTTGAAACAGTCAGATATGACCCAAGCACGGCACATGTCTTCGCTCACACCGCGGGACCTAGGGTGCCCCACAATCCCTGTGGATACCAGCCCCAAAGCCGTTCAGCGTAGTCATTCTCAGAAAGCCACTGTTGCTGCTTCGCGGCAAACTCCGACCTGGGCAAAAGGCAGGTAGGAGGAAAACGACCCGAGAGTTTTTCGAGCTCGGAGAATCCAAAAAGGTCGCCGCAACTGGGGGCTGAGAAGCATGATGGCATGCGGTAGGATACCAGTGTCTGGGTGTTCAGGCTGCTCTCTGTGCAGGTGTAATGGTAATGCTGGTGATGTGTAGCTGCCACGAGCTAGGTCATGAACCAACTCCTAGAGTGGGTTGGCAGGAAGCAGACGAAGCCGCAAATGCTGTATCCTGCCTCACTTCCTGCAATGCCGCGGCAGTGGAAGATGCTTCCTCCTGCAAGAGAGACAGAACATGCAAACTCAAAGTCACTTCATATCTCAAGCCGTATCACTCCGAGCCGCGGTGTCCCTAAACCCTACACCCTAAGCCCCCTAAACCCTAAACCCCTAAACCCCTGCCTAAACCCTGAACTCCAATAGGACCGAAAAGGGAGGAAACGCTGCAAGCGTTCGATTCGTGGGACCTCCGAGACCTCCAGCTGCTTCCGCAGCGAGGCGATCTGGCGACCTTGCCACAGGAAATAAGGCTTTAGGGTATACAGAAGAATTATCGTCTAATAAATATTAGTTATGTGAGGGATAATACTTACATAAATATAATGTAGAGGTATCCTATTCCTAGTTATTCAGACCTTCTAGTGGCTGCTGCCCCTCTGTCTCAACCCCGCAAGGGCTGCTCTGATCGTCCATTCGGGCATTGCTACCAACCCAAGTCCAGAAAGATGCCAAGGTAAGGAACGCTCTTCAGCCCATTTCCTGAGCTGCTGGCGTTGGGAGTCCGACTTCTCTCGGAACTCGTCGAGGACCGTTAACGTCTGTGCAGAGTCTGGGGGCTTCTTCGGCAACAGACAAGCTAAGCATTCCTAAGCCAGCCCCAAGCCGCGGCCCCTTTCGTGCCTCGTCCTCCTGAAGCACGGCCTCCAGCTCTTCGATCTAGCGCGAAGGCGCAGGAGTTTCACATTGAAGAAGCTGGAGTCTCAGACAAGCATTGAAAGCATTGCTGCTGCTTTCTCGTCAGCGTTATCACAGCTTGTCATATGTCCTCAACAGCGTCTCAGATCACATGCTATATTGTGATTGTCGCGGTAGCAAAAGCAGCTGCTGGTTTATGTCGTGTTGTTGCTGTTCTTATTAGTTGTTGGTGCAGCTGTAGCTGCTCGTCTTTGGCTCAAGCATGGCTTTATTGTCGCACTGCTGTATTTTACAAATCATGCTTGTGCTCACCATTGGTACCATGACCTCGGCTCTCCCCTACTGAAAGTATTTTAAGCGTCACTGTCATTCGTGCGAGGCACCTAGTGTTGCGGTTGTTGTTGTTGTTGCTGCTGCTGCTGTTGTTGTTGTTGTTGTTGCTGCTGCCTGGTGTAGAAGATTGTAGAAGTAGCTGCATGCCAAGTCTGTGTTCATTCTTGTGCGAGCGTTATGATGATGACGGTGGTGGTGGTGGTGGTGGTGGTGGTGGTGGTGGTGGTGGCGATGGTGCTGAAGGTGACGATGGCGGTGGTGCTGATGATTGTGTTGACTATAGTAGCAAGGATGATGAATCACCGAGGCATCATCAGTATCATCGAATCTCAAGCCCCTGAAACCTTAACCCCCACCCCGGCCTTTTTTGGGACCCCCCGCTCCCCAACCCAAAAGGCCTTGTGGCTCTGCTTTTCCAGCACCTCCTCGGCATTCCTTCGCGCTGAGGCCTCCAGGGCCACGGCCTGCAGGAGCTCTTCAGCAAGCTTTCTGCATTATGAAGATATGATTGATTAGGGACGCTGCGACATGGGGGTTGCTCATAAGGTTGAGAAGGGATCTGGGCAAGAGCTCGAAGTACTCTGTTGCAGAGTAAGGATCCTCGTATTCAGCATCTGTTTGTCTGAGTTTCCGCATAGGGCCCCTCCCCCCAATGGCCCCCCACAGTTTAGCGGTCAAAAATCCCAAAGGTCTCTCATCCGAAGCACAGCTACAACGAAGACCAACACAAGTCGCCACAGTCACGACGGAGACTATCATCGTCATCACCATCGTCACCATCATTTTCATCGTTGAATCCCACGAAGCCGTAATGACGGACAAGATAATAAGTACCCATCTGGTTCTACCCTTCCAGCAGCCTCCCTGGCTTCCTGCAACTGTCGCATGGCCGCCGCCAGGGCCGCCTGACTGGGCTTTCTTTCCCGTGTCTAATGTTGGGGCCTACATAATTACTATTTTGGGGGGCTCCTTTTGTTTGTCTCAGATGCATGGCCACGGGCGGTTACGAGGCTGAGGGCTAGAGGTCTGGCATCGGGGGTTTCAGGATCAGGGCTGAGCACCCCTGTGGACCACAAATGTAGGTTTGGCATCGATTCATTGCGGATGCAAGTTAAGGCCTGAAGCTGCCGAGACGGCAACTTCCGAGACCGCGCCACGGGTCCAACAGTTGCACCACACTGCGGCAGGACGCGGTACTTTACCGGCGAGCACGATCTGGCGAAGCGCAAACACGGTCGCACCGAAAACATGCAGGCGCTGTGGCGGCACCACACGTATACAGCACACAGAAACGATCGGGACAGCGGCAGGAAGAACGATGGGACCTTCAAATACGGGTGGCACTGTGTTGAGAGCACGATGGCGAGCTTTGGAAGTTCCGAAGCCACTTCGAGCAGCGTCGACAAGCCGCGACAAGCCGAGTAGTGTGGACCTGCCAGAAAAATCGAGCGGTGACGTGCAGGATCACGATTCTCACCCTACGCACGGCATTGTGGTGAGATCGCGATTTGCCCTGCAGGCACAAACAAAAATGTGACAGCAAATACGGTGCCCCCGGCGGACGCGAACGGCGGAACCACCGAGCGTGCTGCCGGGCTCGCCTTGCGTGACCGTAGCCTGATCCCTTTACGCTGAACGCAACGACTCCTCAGCAAACAAGACCATGCTGGGGAAAAACACAAACACAACAGCCGGTAACCAAAAGGCGAACAAGTCGTCACGGCTGCTGCTAGCTGTGTTATCTCGTTTATTGACTCGAAAACTATTGAACATCATACTGTTTTTTTGCGGCTGTGTCCATCGTATCACTGTTGGTATGGATATCGAGGGTGTTTGCTATGACTTGCTGGAGATGCTACCAGTCGCAGCAACTTTTTTTGAACAACACAATAGTAGGATTCATATGGTACATGTTACCCATGTCCTTGCCGCAAGTTCATACTGTCCGATCAACAGAGTTGTAACAGCACACACACACACACCGGCAAAACCAATACCATGCGCAACAGCACAGCCTGCCGTTCGACATGATATCGTGCTAGCATCATCTTGCTGACGAATGAGCCTATAGAGCCGAAACCCCTTATTATTAAACTGAACCGAGGACCCAAAACCCTAAACCCTGAATCCTATAGCCCGCTATAGGTAGAATGCACATCCCTAAACCCTAAAACCTGAACACATCAGTAGAAGGTGCTTGGACACCTCGGCGTCTGCGCGGAGCCTCTGCTCGGAACCCACGGCTGCCTCGACACGAGGCTCGAGACACTTTCGGAAATTTGGGATGTCAGGTTCCAGGGAGCCTATGGCCTGCCGGATTCAAGGGGTCTTGCAGCTTCGGGTGCATTTTTATAATCGCTGTAGGGCTTGAGGCTTGCAGCTTCAGAGCTTGCGCTCTGAGCTCAACGGCCATTTAGCGTGTCGTATCTTGCAGTATAGTACAGCTCACTGCAACATAGCAAGCACGGAGCCCAGAACAAGGGCAATGCTCCGCCTTGGATTCGTCCAGTAGCTTCAGCCGATGCTCGTGGAGGACCTTCTCCTTTGCGAGGTACTCCTCAGATTGCTTACGATGTCTTGCCATGGCATGATGTTCCCGGCCTCCCGCCCTGCAATATGAAAATGCAACAAAATGTAGCCATTCAAAGCTATGTGGCAGTATAGCCGCACAACAACAGAAAAGCCAGGTCAAACAAGATGCTCATACGATGAGCTGCAGTATTGCATGAGTCCAGTGTGCAAAGCGGTTATGACATAAAAACACGGCCATGCAATAACAGAAAAGCAAGGAGAGCCCTGTGTTAGAGCGTTTCAATACAGTAACTGACTGGTATAGAAACTTTGCAGCAGTCACAGCAGCTGTTTAACAGCATGTGATGGATGTCTCCAAACTTACACTGATAGCGACTCAAAAGTAACTGCGTGCAATGTAAGACCAACACAAGCCATAAATTCATGAATCCAGTTGTGCACGAATACTGTACTCGTGCAGTACAGTAGCTCATTGTAGGGCATCTTGCTTGACCTGGCTTTTCCGGATTTTGTGCGGCTACACTGCCACAAATGCCTACATGTTGTTGCAGTTTCATCGGCAAAATGGGGAAAGACACCCGGAACGAAGATGCTGTCTATCAATGAAGTCAAGGTGCCGTAGCCAGATTCGCGCGGCCCTGCTCTGCTTTGGCCAGGGCCTCTTCGGGGCGGTGAAACCGAAGGATGCTTTTTGTAAGTTTTGGGAAGAAAACTACCCATAGGCTCCTAAGTAGCTCATTTTTTGTGGTTTATATTTAGAATCCTATAAGGTAATCCCAAAAAGGAACTACTTAGGAGCCTATGGGTAGTTTGCAAATTTAAGGTAGCAACAATCATACTATCAACGTAAGAATCCGTGGATGTCATTGGCCGGAAGAATCAAAAAGTAAGGTGAGCAGACTGCGAGCAAGAATGCAGTTCGAACATAAACCCTTGCACGCACACGTGCTCCTCGGCATGCTGCCGTGCAGATGCCTCGCGCCGCCGTGCCGCCTACAGGTGGGTTGACGGCTTGAAGACTAAGGTTTTGGTCGGCTCCAAGGGTGATGTTCACTGACGCCTCCCTTACTGGGCTTTCCTCATTCCTCTCGGGGTTGGGATGCCTCCTGCAGGCCGAGAAGCAACACCTTCAGACACGACCATTAAAAGAGTCTAAACCCTGAAATCTCAACCTCCAGACACCCATCACTGTTGAGTCATGGCCGAGGAAAATGCGGCAGAAACAACAGACAGGTGCTGTTACAATCACGCCGTACTACTTTCTCGGTCCTGAACGACGCGGCTTGCTCCTGTTCCCGTCGGCGTCGGGCGGATGAAGACTGAACATTGTGACATGCGCATTTTGCGTTGCTGCCCAGGGCAGTTGGAGAGCAAGTTGTTCTGGTGAAGTTAGCTTGTCGAGAAATGGGATTCCCCCGTAGACTCGGGCGTTGAGCTTTGCTGAGGCCGATCGCCAATGTAATGCTGATCGTGGTTGAAGTGTGACCTGCTGAAGTTAAACTTGGCCCTTGGGGCTGCCTTTGGGCCCGGTTTAGGACGACGTTTCTTGTACGTCCGCTGTGTGTCCTCCTCTTACTGCTGTGCCTGTATGCCAAATTTCAAGAGTTTCCTTTGCTGCTGCGGGTGATGAAGCCTGAAGAATAAGTAGTGCAATCTGCGTATATATGGTCAGGCGTCTGGCGCTCCCAGCCCCTCCCCCTTTCCTGGTATGGTCTGGTATGGTTGGGGGGGCAGGGGCTGGCGTGGGGCGGTTGGGTAGGGTGGGGGGGCGGCCAGGGGTCACACCCTGAACCCTATAACGTAGTAGTGAAGCCGCTGTATGAATTGTATCGTTAGGAACCATAACGATAAGGTTACTTTTTGGACCACTGGGTATCATCGCTTTATCATGCCCGCTCCCGAAGATAGCAAGAGGAGGGATAGTGACACGATTACGGCGTCTGGCACAGCTGGACAAGCTGGACACGTTGACGATAAGAAAACTAGCAACAACTAGACCACAAACGAATTTTTAGTAAGGAGATGACAATCAGGAAAGGCATCGTCATTATCCGGAAAGCTTAACCATTAGGGTTTTATGATAGCAAAAATTTAAAATTGTATCCAACAAGGACCCAGTTAAACCCTAAACCGCAGTTTTCAGCCTCCAGCAGGGCGCACCCCGGGAGGTCCTGGCGCTGAAGGCGATTCCTCGGGCACGTGGAGCATGGAACCAAGAGCCAAAGCTGCGCTGGTATACTTTAGGGTTTAGGCTGTAGGGTGTGGGCTTTAGGGCAAAAAGGGTGAAAGCAGATGATGATGGATACTGCGGCAGACGACGATGTACTACGCGCAAATAATGGGGTTAATGGAGGGAGGGCCGGAGCGGGAAGAGGGGAGGTACAGGAGAGCTTCGCAGAATCTGGGACCCCGACAGAAACCACAGATTTCTGAAACCTGCATGGAAAAACCCTGCAAAAGCCGATGAAACCCTCAGAACACCGCAAAGCTCCGCAGACTCCTCGAAAATCCTGTGAGAAAATTCGGGTTCTTTCGGTAGCGAGAGGGATCCTCGCTGTGAAAAGCTTCAGGGTTGGGCAATGGCGGCTTTCCGCTCTTTCATGGACTGGAGGTTTTGGTTTAGGTTAGGGGGGGTAGGAGCACGATTTTGGGCGTTAGTGTTCCGGGGTTGGGGTTTGGGGTTCACGGCATTGGGCTTCTTGAAGGCGTGGGCAGTTGGGTTGTCTGCTAGATTATGATCCCTTTCGGGCTCGGAGGCTCACTACAAACAATCAACTTCCGGCAAGGATCCCTTTTGGAACCCTGGTTGAGCAAATGCCATGAACACCAATGCGGAGGCCAAGCAACAGCCAAATTCCGGCGGCTGCATCCACGGCACCCAAGTCAAAAGAGGGTGCCATGGCCCAGAAGATTGACACTAGATTTAGGCTTCACTGGTTATCTAAAGGTTCAACAGCAGCAGCAGCAGCAGCAGCAGCAGCAGCAGCTTCAATTATTGCCCCGCGGCAGCAGCTGCAGCAGTAATAGTTGCGTTACATGGTACTCAGTAGTGATGGCAGCACCAACTGCAACAATCCTGTATGCGCAAAGAGTCACAGGAATGATGGAATGTAGCAACATCAGGATGGCAGCTGGTTGGTGGCTCAAGTTCGGGAGGCAAACGCTGCGATGCAGGCGCAGCCAAGACGACCCGTTTTGGAGACAGGCCGGGCGCTGGAAGTTCGACGGGCTTATTGGAGCGGATCTGAAAAACAACCACTTGAACAATATGAGTGAGATGCAGACGCGAGTCATCGACGGTAGATACGGAGTTCATTGCCAAACCTCAAACGAGGCAAAGCACGTGAAGCCCTAGACGAAAACTATTCAACCGTGAAGCCTAGAAACCTTAAAGTTCATACCGAAATGAAACTGAAGCCTAATGAAAAAGATCCTGAAGGTTTGGAGGCTCAGCTCCCAATCCCCAAAGCCCAGAGCAGCCCCAAATCCCTAAACCCTCAGGCAAGAGGCCTCATTTCTGTTTCAATAGGCTGACCGAAGGAATAGCTCACAGCACAGGAGGCCACCAAGAGGTGGTGTGCACAATTATGTGCTTCAGGCTACACTGGCACACTTTGGCTGGAGGTAGCCACATTTAAAAAAAAGTAGCCGGGGCAACAGGTCCCTTGAAGACCGTGCCGACGAGATTTCAGGCGGCTGGGTAGAAAGGCCCAGCTCTCTTGCAGGTATGATGAAAGTAGGTTGCCTTCTCGCTGCCTCCTGTGTTGATAGCATGACAGCCATCTTGAGTCCGACCATTACTGTAGGGCTAGGTTTCTAGCACAGCGAAGTGCTAGGATGACAACTCTTCAACAACTACCCTAAACCCTAGACGCTACACTTACCAATATAGGGGCCTTGATAATTAGAATAGGGTTTTGGGGGCCCATTATACTACAATTCATCATAATATGGAACCCCTAATCTTGCACCGGTAGTTATTTAGGCCCCTACACTACTGCACCTCCCCCCCCAACTGTGAGACTCAACCGTGCCCTTGGCGCGACGGCGGGCGCCGGCCGGCCCTGCCGAATCCGCGAGAGACGTGGACACACTGACGATGGCTTTAAGGGTTTCCTGTAACCGAAAAGACCTACCGTTCTAAGGAACTATATATAGAAACCACAAAATGAACCCTAAACATGTACTGGTAGGTCTTTTCGGCTACAGGTTTTGGTTTAGGGCTTGCGCCTTAGGCCTTCGGGCCCTTTAAAGCCACTTTAAGCTGCTGACCCAGCGCACACTGCCAAAGGATCACCAGCGCTGTAATTGTACATGTCCGGACAGGCTAGCTCCGCAAAGTAGATCTTGTCGAAAGCCGCAAAACGAACTGCCCAAGGAAACAAACGCCACGGTCTGAAAGAGAAGCCCTAAATCCTAAACCCCTAAACTAAACTGTGCCTCTCGGAGCCACCAGTCGAGGGCCGGGGTGGCGTCCGGGGTCGCAGCGGCGCCTTGGCTTCGTGAAGCTTCGCAACAGCCTTGCGAAGTGTCTTTGGAAAAGGGTCTAGGGTTTAGGGCAGTGTAGCACCTGGCACAGGACTCAACAGGACAACAGACACTACTCAGACAGGCAAGCAGGCAGAGAAAGAGACGTGGAGAGACAGACAGATAGTGACTGACGCAGACAGATACAGAGGGGAATTGCGGACTGGCAAACTCCATCAGCTAGCGTC